ATGTTTATTTGTAGTCCTTCAACTGTTCATATACACACGTTTGTGGAGGTGATATAGTCATTAAAATGGTTTTTTAAGTCTCTTTTGATAAGTTGAAAAGGGATGTAAGGTTCAGGGTGGAGTTTCTGTCTTCTGTAGCCCGAGTGGCTGTGTCTCTGGACAGGACATGGATGGGCGGGGACAGTGGCAGGTTGTCTTAGCCAAATTGTGTTTCCTCACAAGTTGCCCGATGAGGCCTGTTCACCCAGAGGACAGCACTGAGCATGCTCAGGAACAGGGGCACCTTCAGGAATATGAGGAGCAGGAAGTGGACACTGCTGAGCAGGGACCTGTGGGGACACGGTGACGGTGATGCACAGTGAGCCTCATCATCAGCACTCCTGCCTTCCAACCCCCGCCTCCGCACCCCCATCTAGAGGAGAATCCACCAGGTGTCAAAGTCCTGGGATGTGCGCCCCTTACCGAGGGTGTTGGTTGGCATCAGGCGTCTCCTGGCTGGTCATGCTGGGCCCAGTGGTCACTGGCAGGGAGGAGGGAGGGCCCAGGGTGCTTGGAGGGCCCAGGGTGCTTGGAGGGCCCAGGGTGCTTGTGACGATCTTCAGGGTGGGGGCTGAGGGAGAAGCACATGTCAGGCCCTGGGTCTTCCACTCTGTCAGCTGTGTGGCTCTGACACAAGGTCAAGGTCACTGAGGCCATCCCCTCCGTGGCCACAGGCAGGCCAGACCTGGGCCCCCTCCCTAGGCCCCTCTCCAGGAACTCCGAGGCCTGGTGGGCATGTCCGGAAGCAGAGTCATCCTGCTCAGCAGAGGATCTGAGACTGTGTGGGAAGAGCACTTGGCCACATCCCCACCACAGCCACACCCTTCTCCCTCTTCTCCCGCCAGCAGGGGTGGGGTGACACTTATTCTGTAGCCTTGACTAGAGCGGTAGGTGACCAGGTCCCTCAGGCGTGGAGTGCTTGGAGTGAGACCCAGGAAACAGACGTGCCTCAGGGTCTGCACTGGAGGGCGGAACCCGCAGTCCCTTAGACTCTCCTTGGTCTGATTGCTCGTGTCTCCAAAATTCCTTTGTTGAAAGCCCCAGGCACAGTGGGTGGTATTAGGAGGCCAGGCATTTGGAGGTGGTCAGGGCATGAGGGTGGAGCTCTCATCCATGGGATTAGTGCCTGGATGAGGGAGGCCCCTCACCCTGGAGGATACAACAAAAGTCCACACTCAGAGGAGGGCCTCGCCCACATGCCGGCCTCCTGATCTCGGGCTTCCAGCTGTGTCTAAGCTACCAGCCCCCACACTGTCAGTCAGGCCTTTGGACCATTGGGCAGTCCTCTCTGGGGGAACAAATGAGCAGAAAGAAAGACCTGGAGCAGGGGGTGGGGGACCTGTTTCCTGCCAAGGGCCATTTGGAGATTTATAACATCATTCGAAGGCCCACAAAATCATCAACTTAAACATTAGCCTGTTCTGTTTGGACAAGCATTTCATTCACTCACCCCTAATGCCTTGGCAGGACCAGAGAGAAGGATTTCTTTGGCCTTATATGGCCCTCGGGCCGGAAGTTCCCCACCCCTGATCTGGAGAGACACACACCAGGTGGACCCCATAGAACATGGTCCGACAAAAAGGCACGGGGACAAGCCCCTCCCCCCCCCCCACCCAGAGATTTTTG